CTAAAGATTGGGGATTTTTTTCATCAGAGAGACCCAGTTTCAGCCAATCTACTCTTATTTTAAATTTAACTGAACTAAGTTTGGTAACCTGGCTTCTGCACTCTTCAGAACACTGGAAACAATAAATTAGAAATCAGGACAGGAGCTACTGGAGGGTGGGGGATGGGGGGCAAAACAGCCAAGGTAATTGGTAACAATTACTAGACAATTAAGAGAGGAGGAAGAAAAATTATTTTAAAAAATAGGATATGAAATGCAAGAGGCACAGCAATCTGGGAAGTTTTATGTTCTGAGAAGTCTGCTCTCTTCAATAAGCAAAGGGTGGTGATTTTACAGCACAGGCCAAAAACAACAATTCTGGCTACTCTGGCTCAATAAGCCAGAGACATTTTGAAATATTTCAACAAAAAGGGTTAAATTTTATTTAGAATCTGAGCATCTAATGATTTTAAACACTTAGTTATCTATAAAATCATTCCTTAAAAGACTGTTAGAAAGTTCCAAATAACTGAGGCATATATTAAAAAGAAAGAAGGAATTCTATGCAGTTTAATGCCTTTCGGGGGAGGGGGGGGAGGAAGGGGAGGGAGAGGGGGGACTCACTTAAATCATATTTATCAAATCCCTTCCCTATCCTTTCCCCCATCCTCTCCCCACCAGCAAAGCCTGAAAATATCTGCCTAGCAAAGAAGGAACTAATATTTAAATCATTTTTACTAGCTACAATATAGTTTTCCACTACTTCTACAATACAGAGTTCCATCTTACCTTCTTGCATATTGTTGGTCCATCCATATTTGTGCTCAGAATGACCACTACTTTATAATCATCAGAAAAGTGACTTCAGTCCCAGGTTAAAATAGATACTACAGTGTGGCTTGTTGAAAGTCAAACCCCAAACATTTACTAGGAGTGTCTTTCATTGAACAAAGAAATCCTATTCTGTTTCCAAGGGGGATAGAAAGACGAGCCTAACCCTGGTAACCTTAACACAAAAGGAAGCTAAAAAGGCAGGGACTCGGTAAGAACAAAGGGTTGTTCCTTCTGATGACATCGATACATATTAAACACGATGTGTTACACATCCTTTTATCAATATCTGAGATGATAAATTTGCAAATTAATACTATACCAGCCATGAGTGCATAAAATTACAACAGCACCCTCTTTAGAAAAGATTTTGATTTATATAATGGTAATAACTTTTATGTGTTTAATGTTTCTGAAATTAAAGGAGGAGATGAGCTACTGTGAGCAAGCAGAACACAACGTACAAGAAATAATTACGCTTGTGACCTCATGCCCTGTAAGGTCACTCTGCATCACAGGCCAAAGGAAATCGGGAACCATCAGCATTTACCTCAGAGCAGTCACTGCCTCGAATGAAGGGCAAGTGTGGGTGTATTTCATAAACTAGCAGGTGCTTGACCTTATAAAAAAGTCAATTATCAAAACGCTACATGTAGAATGTCACAAATAAGAAATAGATAAAACTGGGTTCTGCAAAATACCTTCCCTTCAAAATAAATCTGAGACAACTTATAACATTTTATCTTTATCCACATTGTAATACAACAGTTTCACAAAAAAACATTAAACTGTCCTTAGAACAATCAGTAGAAATTTTAAAAAATGTTTTGGAACATAAATGTGATTAGAGATACATGCTGAGAGCAATAACTCAGAAAACACTTACAATGTTTATTTAAGTCACTGTCACAAGAATGTATGTGATATTTATAATTCTGGTCCTGTTACTCGAGTGAGAATGACTGTGCACCTGTCGTCAAATTTTCTAGCAGAAACTGAGCATCAAAAGTTGTATGTGTATGAGATGATGGATATTCACTAAACCTACTGCGATAATCACTTTATAGTATATGTAAATCAAACCATGTTAAAAAAAATTTAAGTACACCTTAGCCTTCTACACTGATGTATGCCAATTATTTCTAAATAAAACTGGAAAAAAAAAGTTTGCCTCTTGCCTGCATTTGTAAGGGATAAAATGTTCCCTAACAGGTTCAAAGGAGAATTCCATTATCAGAAGCAAAATTCTCATATCTCTCAATTAGGGCTTGGTTTTTATAAAAATTTGTGAACTGGATTTTCAGTTAAGGCAGACTATTACTTCTTTTTCCTCCCCAGTGATCTCTGGTCTGCTGCCAGATTCCCTTGGGCAATACAAACTAAAGTGCATTCTGGGGCAGTGACAATAAGGAGAACAAAACTACAGAAACCAGTACAGGAAAGGGAAGGGGACAGCCAGCCAACATCCACTACGTGTATTATGTGCTGTGCTGGATGCTTTACACAGAGTTTCTCCTTTAATGCTCTCAACAGTCCTAAGGAAAGCAACTGGCTTCTGACCCACTGCTTTCCTTAGGCTCTCAGACAAACCTATCAGAGACTCTTATTGCCTAATGTATTGAAACAAAATTCCAGATCCCACTCAATATGACCAGTCGACTCGAACTGTCATCTCAGCACCAGCTCCATCACCGACTGACAGTGAAGTCGAGAAAGTTGCTGTCCACTTTCAGCTACTACCCTCAGACTCCAGGTCTCTAAGAGGAAGGGCTACCACAGGCCCATCAGCCCAGGGTGCCATTCTGCTTTTGAGGTAAAAGCATTTTCTGAGTTTCAGACAAACAGCAAACAAAGGGACTCTGAGATCAAGTTCAGACGTAAGTTAGGAGCTGCCAATACCGCTTAGGCAATTACTGCATATTCTTCAATGCTTAGATGATTAAATTACAAGGAAAAAAATATCTGATGAGAATGTATTTATGAGATGTATTGCCTAGCATTTTACTTAGTGATTAAAAAGACTTCTATGTTAGAGATAGGTTTTAAGCTCTAAAAGAAAGCTTTCTCCTGTAACTTGCCAGAATAATCATCTCCTCAGACGTTAATGACAATGGTATAAGCGATGTCACTACAAGCACGTTTATGGCAGGTGTGGGCTGCCCACCAGCTGGCTCCATAACCTTTTGATCCCTTTGGACAGCAAATCTGTTCAACAGCCCTATGTGGTCATTCCTCATTTGTTGTAAGCCTTCTTCTCCATTCACACATTTAAAATCCTCACTCCTTTATCTTGACATCTTTTTATTAAAATAGACGCTCTCAGTAAAGCACACTAAAACTAATTTTACACTCAGTCAGTGCAAAAGTTCTACCAATAGATTAATGTATTATAGCAACTGTGGTTAGTGTGTGATGTTTGCATTACATGTAGAATGCCTATTTGGCTATTCTCTGCTAAAATTACAATTTTGCAGTAAGTGATAAGATCAAAATTTTGAGTAAGCTAGCATTCAGCTAATTTATCAAATACTCTAGGATACTGTTACTAAATACCAAGGACTTTAATTTACATAAATGGAAAGGCTTAAACTTGACCTAAGAACAACCTCATTTGTGTTTATTTAAACAATGATGAGAACCATTCTCTTCTTTCCAGAAAAAAATAAAATAAAATGATATCCACCACCACTGCTAGTGGCACCTCTCTTTCCCAACCGTCAGGAATACAACAAGCCACTCATCTTTCAAGTTTTTCTTAGCCCTTTATATGCAATCTGCAGTTAAGGTTTAGAATTAATTGCCTTTTACCCTATCTACATTTAGGTCTTGGTCCACATCCCCTTCAGTAATAGCCTCTCATCTACTAAGTCTACTTTAATCCATCTCCCACTGTACACCAGTCCATTCTAAATAAGGATGTCTTAAAACTGTTTCTCAGTATTTCCATATCTCCACAGTGTTCTCTTTTCAAACAATCTCTAGCAATTTGCTATTTAGTTTCACCTTCAGTCCACTCTACAGCACTATCCTCAGAGTTTGTCTCAAGGATTCACTCATTACATGCTCAAAATAACTTTGTAAAGTCCTACTACCATCTTCATTTAATCTGTGACACAGCTGAGGCCGAAAAAGGCTAAGTGTGCAAGGTCACATACTTAATTAAGTAACCACCATGGTCACCACTGGCAAACACGTGGTAGAGCTGTACCAGTAGTAACAATTATAACCCTTTCTGAATCTTTTCATTTTCCATCTTATACAATCCTGTATTGTCTGTCTTGACAAGTACAGTGAATATCTCATTACCAAAAGTAAGTAGTATTGGCAAAAGCCCAGTTAAAATGAATGCACCAAAAGCCCAGGACAAATTTTCATACTAGAAAGTTTTTTTTAAAGTTTCACTGAGACTTAAAAAAAAAATGAAACTTATTTTATCTTACACTCAATATAACAGGTTAAAATTTTAACTCTGAATTCTTCTTTAGAAGAGTAAAGAATGAATCAAATAAGTTGGGAATAAAGCATATTTCTTCTATAAAGAAAAAAAATGATAGCACAGTATAACTTTTCCTCGATGCACCACTGACCTAGCAGCACGACTGCAAAGGTTTTGTTTTGCAAAAAATACTCCAAAATTTCAGCAATTTTCCCCATAAACTTTCTCAATCCATTGAAAGCATATTCTTCCAAAAGGTCCTTCAGTCAAAATCCTTCCTAATTTTCTCTTTTTTCAATAGGACACTGGTCTAACTCTACCAGATCTTTAGTTCTTAAGGATTCACAATTCCAACTTTACTTGGAAAGGATCTGCCCTGTATTTGCACTTGCACATCATCAGATCAGTGTCTAACAAGATGGTACCCATAATCATAACAATGAAATATGCAGAGACAGATGCTACAGTTAAACAGGGTAGAGTTTTCGATTGGGATTAACTTATAAGGGGTCAGCCCATTGGTGAATATATTGATATTTACATTAACTTTTTCTTTTTTCCTTCTTTTTTTGAAAATCAAACTCCAAGCTGTAAGGATCCAGAAAATGAATAAGCAAAACTGGAGGATCCCTTATTTTCACTCTAAGGTAAATGACTCACTTTTGTTGCGAGGCAGGAGCAAGCGTATTTCTGAGTTGGGGTATTTTCCTACACATGTGTGAAAACCTGTGTGGAAAAGCATGAGAGCTCTTACGTGATATGACGTGGTCCATGTACTGGGGTAAGTAAGGAGCCCAGGCATCGATGGCCTCCTTCCGCCCCGCCTGCTCAATTCTTCTCAGCTCAGCCAGAAGCAGGGCTTGCGCGGCTTCTCTGACCTAAGACCACAGATCCAAACGCAAAAAAAGGTAAGTGGGTGAGGTGTTTAAAAACTAGCAGGTTCATAATGAAAGAGAGGTAGAAAATATACAAACCACGCTTATTTACGTGAGAAAAATTACTAACCAAACAATGAATTAAGTACCAAGTGGAATAAACTAAATGTGAGCAAGTCAGACATCTCAATGAACGATCTCACTGAAAAACACTTAACACTAATACACAGAATAATGTTTGAACATTTAATAAGCTTCAAAAAATGAAATTTAAAACATTCTTGCACTTTAATTTAGCACTTTCAATTCTTTAATTTCCATGAAAATATTATTTAAAACATCACTGTTAGAACTATTCCATATTTTCTCTTTCAGCCTGAAGAAATTTAACTTTGTCTAGCAAATTTCTATATATTATAATGCTCAAGAGGTACTGTTTACACAAACATATATGGATCAGTCCACACAATTCATGTATCTCTAAGACAGGCTTAAACAATTTGTTTTCAATAAATGAGCAAATGTACTGCTGTGTAATGGCGTTAGTTCTATAAAAGGAAACTATTTTTCAAAATTATATTATCTCAATTTTTATTTCAATATGGTACATACTTTTACTCTGCAGTTTTAGTTTAGTTTTGTTTTATTTTGGCCAAGGTGCCACAGGCATGGGTTCAAAGAATCTAGTCAACTGTCAAAGGATGTACCAATTTATTAACTAGTTATAATTGAAGAGATAACTCAGCAGCATCTGATGAGAATTAAAATAAACACTGTTTTTAATTAATTATATTATATTATATTTAATTAATTAATTATAACTGACTTTTGAGGTGAATTCAAACATTCAAAGGCAAAACCATGAAAATTTTAGCATGCTGCAGTTTCCACTTGGACTTGAGGGAAGAGAGACCAGGAAAGGGACAAAAATATTATTTAAATTTGGCAAATTAAAAATCCTGAGTGACAGAAACTGCTATAGCTATACAGGTCAAATGCTATAATAAGGAAAACCTCTACAGAACATTTCCAAGTCCCTGTTGATATTCTAACCCAAGCAACATCTAATGCAGCGTAAGTCCATTAACACAAAATAATAGCCACTGTTTACTGAGCTCGTACCATGTGTCAGGCTCTGTACTCACTGTTTTACTTACATTATCTTATTTGATCCTGACAGCAATCCCATGAGGAATATATTATTATCCTCACTTTACAAATGAACTTCAAATAGGTTAAGTAAATCACCTAGGGTCACAAAGTTAATAACTGGCAGAACTGATATTTAAACCCGGGTCTCTTCTAATTCCAAAGACCTTTTCTTTTTATTGTAACATGATATCTTTCATTGGGTGATGCTTATTCACTTAGAATTTGACTGATGTGATTATACCTGAATGTGCGATTTTGGGGGAGGTGGGTGTAGTATGTTGTGTGTGTGTGTGTGTGTGTGTGTGTATGTGTATGGTCTGTACAGAAAGAAATACTTAAGAAACTGTTCCATAAAGTATATAAAACTTTTTTTATCAAATATTCACTGGATTTTTTTTATAAAAAAGTAAATAAGTATGTAAGCTGAAACATTACTATTTAGTATAAAAACTGAAAAAAAATCATGACTCCATTATTTTCTATCACGTAATAAACAGGTGATAAGAAATCAGATAAACATGGTATTTCTGTTTCAAATTTAACCTGTCCAATGCCTTTTTAATGTTTTTGTTTGCTATCCATATCACTGTGATATTACCTCCAAGCATCGATCTTGCCATCTCCGAGCCAGCATCTCTAGAAGCGGGGGCCTAAACCTGTCCAGTCCCAGCAGGTCTGGCAGCATAACACAGTGCATGGCAGCCAGCTGACTCCATCCTGTCAAAATGTAACATATTACAAACGCTTTGAACACTCAGGCATCCCCTCATTCAAAGATTTTTCTATATGTAAGTATCCCTAAAACCAAAATAGGAAAATCTGCTAAATTACGTTGTAAATGATTTTAATTTATTATTAGCTATTTTACACAAAGACATATCAAATGTACTTCATCGCTAAATCATGTAACTGGTACTTACAAGAACTCTCCAGGCTTTAAAATAAAAATAAATTTCCACATAAAGCATTTATGAACTCTGCAGGAAAAGCACATTTCTAAACAGTTCCTCTAAAATAAGACATATATACAGGGATAGGAAAGCAGAGAAATGAACATGTGCTAGAGCTACAGACTTGAAACTACTGTCAGTTAAAAGGGCAATCACATATCCAAAGAGAGGCTCCTGTCACTCAAGGCCTGGCTGCCTGGTATTGTACCACTCAACAGATAGATGCCTTCCCTTCTCTGTCAGAGGGCCTTTAATAAGGTACTTACTGACCCCTTTTCTTAAAAACTGAATCAGAAGTTTAATCGCAATCATAACTAAAATAAGTAAACTAACACCAATTTTGAGAGGAAAACATGAATTCCTACACTGCACAAAAATAAAAACTTGACAACCCCAAATTTACAAAGTTTTAAGCATCATTAACGCTAACCTATGGGAATAAAAGTTATTGCTTCCAAATTTCTAATCCACAATATGGAAATAGATTATATAAAGACAACAATTTAAACCACTGCAAATTTGAAAGCACTAGTATTCAGACATTCTCAAATAATCATTTCAACCCTATTTTAAAGGTGTCCATATTACAAAGTGAGTTATCTGTCACTACAGAACTTTAGCAAATCAATGTTTTGAAATAATCTAAGCTATAGTTTTCTAAAACAACAACAAAAAACCCCACCGTAAAACTCAAAATGTTTATTGAGGCTGTTAAAAAGAACGTGAGTGAGTGAGAGAAAGAGAAAGCCACCTATGTAAATATATATCCTCTCAGTAAGGAAATCCTCATCAACTGAGAATATATAATTACATTAATTAAAGTGATGAGCACACACATTTTAGATTATAATTGATTTTCAACAGAGAAATATATATATACATACATACACACACAAATATATATAAGCAAATTACTACCTGGTAACTTCTTAAAGTATTTTAATGTCTCATGAAAGAATGAAGTATATTTATTAGCTAAATTTTAATGTGAAAATGCTTCTCACCATGGTCCACAGTCAATAGCTTATTTCTAAATTGACAAATTACTATTTTTACAATAGCTTAATAAATATGACCTTAAGTATTTTTGCTAAAATTCAGTCCTAACATAGGAACCTTAGTACAGGTCCATAACAGGGAAACCAAACAAAACAAGAGTTTTAAGTCCCCATGTTTTCTTTCCAAAAGAACAGTACTTAGAACATGGGCTCAAGACCTTATAGATATCATATCATTCCTTCTGCTTGAATAGATCGGTTTTATTGCTTTTTAGTGAAGAGTCAGAATCATTCTGGGTTAAATTTGAGATTTTGTAAATTTCCTCCTTTTTATATTATACAAACTGGAGCCCACAATGCAGAGTGTGGATATGACTCAGAGCTCACAAGTTATGTTATGCTTCCAGTTAGTATAAATTATCCCAGATAGCTTCTGGGGAGTAAAGGTTTGTGGATTCCATTCACATTTTCAGAGCTCCAAAAATACTTTCCCCTCTAACCAGGGCACACAGTGTGTACAGAGGGCAAAGTGTGTCTGTCTCAGAGTAATAATATGTGTAAAATAATTAGCTCTAATACCAGAGAGAGTAATGGCAAACATCATCATGAAAACCAAACCCCTGTTTTAATACCTACTTTGTATCAACGATGAGCATCTCTGCATTCTAGATTACAGGAACATGGTTCACACCAGCCAAGAAAAACATCACATTTGTATAACCGACCCTTATCATTACTGTTAGCAAATCAAGTTATAAAATGGAAACTTTAGGATCTCATACATAAAGCAGATGAATGTATAAATTAGATAAAAAGAACATGTCATATTAGAATAAAGCACAGGTTGAAAGACACTTGTTAGGAAGTTGAGAGAGAATACCTTCATTTACTAAGAAACAGGTATGTAAAGCAGGAGTGGAAGCAGGGTCAGAGCCAGAGTGATCAGCATCAGACCGAGCGGAAACGACAGGTGCAGCGACTTGCAGAGGAAAATAGAAGAAAGAAAGGGGAGAGAATTGAGATACAGAGGTTTCTGAAAAAAAAGCTCAGTATTAGTGAAGAATGAAAAACAAAACTGGCAAAATATAGTAAATGTAGAACTGAAAAATGATGTTTTAATCAGAAGGGCATGATCGTTAAGGATTACAGCAATGAAATGATATATTTCATTAAACAGCGATCATAGTGTAGCTCAAATTCCTCTTAAAACCAAAATTTATTTAATGTTATAGTTGACAGGTGTGTCAACTAATGCAAAAAACAGCTCTAAAATAATTAAGGCTACAATGAAAAAAATGTCAACAAATGCATTAAGAATTCACAAAAATGTAATTCACTGTTTAAAGTGAATCACAGAATGAAGAGTTTATGTTGGTTTTCAGATTGTCAATTACATTTTTCTAATAATTTATTTCCTAACATTATGTCTAAATTATTTTTAATATCTCAAACCAATAATTCACTGAGATCACGTCAATTTTCTACACTCATCTTTTAAGAACTCACTTTAAAATATACCGACTTGTGAATTATACAAAATTGTAAAATATAACAACTTTAAGTTAAGTTAAATATACTTAACTCTTGTTGGAAGAATCTAACATAGCTCCATCCTTTGGAGTTTAAAAAATATTTTTATGATACAAATGTCTTATATTCTAAAATAATTACAGTGAATACGATAATCCCTACAGAACAGATACAACAACCCCTTCCCCCAAAAAAGTTATGTTGCTTGGAAGATGTTCAGCTTAAATTATCACATGAAAAGGCAAAAGGACCGTATGGCTCACACATTCTACAACTGGAGGTCAATGTTAAGATTTAGAGGTCACCATTTGACACTTCCTTCCTATGGAGAAATTACCATATGTCATGCACAAGCATCTTCAAATTAATCCCTCTCCTTTCTTCTGTCATTGAACAGCAATAGGTTTGGGCTCCTGAACAGATTAAGCATTGTCTGCTGAATGATATGTTTGCTTTTCACGCAGTGAAGTTCTTTTGTAACTACAGGACAGCTGCATGAAAACAACTTTTCATAATTTCCACACGAATGCATCATGATGTCAATCAGGCACGTGTGAGGTAAACAGGAGAACGGAGATAAGTAAATGAGCAGTAATAAAACCCAGAAAATGCAGCTCCATAAATCCTAAGAAGCAGATCTGGCACACACAGAAGTTTTATCTGAAAAAATCATAATTTTTCACTGTATCAGACTTGTTTTTTTATTCCTTCTGAAATTACAAGTATTTTATAATGCTTATGCTTATCAAAGAAATAGTTACTCTTAATTGCACATTTCATAAGATCTAAGGATTCCACTGTAATCTTGCAAAGAAATCCCAAATATTTCTATATACTCCATTGAATAATTTTTCATTTAAAAAATCATTTTAATTACAAATTCAGTTATCATGGCCTATAAAATTTTTACTTTCCCATGCAAAAAGTTGGTAAGCCTTTGGCAGCAAGGACTAAATTTTTAGGTTTTAGCTTTCATGCCACCAAAATTGTTCGAGAAAGTTTCTCTGGTGGTTTCCGACAGTTGAGGCTTTTTTATAATTTCACTTTAAATAAAGGACAAAAATTATTATCTCTGAAAAGGCTGTGTTAACTTCATCTGACTTTATAATTAATTCTGAAAGAGCACTAGAATGAGAAGGTGAGAAAATTCAATATAAATAAACAAAAGTCCATGACTGAGTGATCATGACCGTAGCCAGGGCAAAGAAGAAGTAGAATTAAACTATAACGTTTTCTCTAAATCACAAGTAGAAAGGAAACTAGAGATGCTACTGGTATATCAGCTAGAATAAGATTATGTCTGAATAGACTAATGTTCAATATATGTAACTTTATTTTTAATTTGAGAAATAAACAGATTTTTGAATATTGTATTTTTGGAGTCCTATTTAAATGAGATTGCCTACAGAAAAAGCCATTTATATTATTCTGTGGGCACTAAAAATTTTTTTAAAATACTGTAATAGAAATCAAGGAATCAGATTTACTATGCTTTAAAAATCTCTGCAACACCATCAAAAAGCACTTTATTCAGATGACCTAACTGAAACTGCAAAATCTAGAACTATTTTCATAATTCATTGAGAATATTGAAATTAAACTGCTAGACAGTTTTATACTGTCCACAAACAGAAAAAATCAGTAACAGAAATTAGAAAAGCACCACTACCATAATAAAAAGCTCAAGATTTAATGACACATAATAAATCTGAATAAGTTATGCGTGGCGCTGAACATCAACATTTACACCATAAAACATAAGCAAGCATTTAATTTCTTAAAACAGAAAAGCTGCCATGTCAATTATCAATTTGCTTCTCTTATTAAGGATCAGTAAACACAAAGGAAAAGTCTCAGCGCAGTTTCAACGTGGGGACAGAACTGCCTCAAGTTCTACTGTTTGACCTGGAAAAGTTCTTTAAGTAATGTTGCAGCTAAGGGCCTCTTCCCAACTGCTTACTCTCACGTGAAGGGATAGATGAAGATAAACTAACTTGTGTGACAACATACACATGCACACATATGCGCTGGTTTCCCTTTAAATGCCATATACAGGGGCGAGGGTGTAGCTCAGTGGTACAGCGCATGCCTAGCACGCCCAAGGTCCTGGATGCAATCCCCAGTACCTTCGCTAAAGTAAATAAATAAACCTAATTACCTCCCCCCAAAACAAACAAAAAAAGAAAACAAATTTTAAATGGCATATACATAAGTACTCAGTATTACAATATCCAAAGTTTCTGTTTTTGAACAGGTCTACTTCTGTCTTCATTTGAAATCTGATTCTAAACTCCTTTTTTCCCAATCGCCATTGTGATACTAAATGCATATTTACATAGGAAAGAAAGTTAACATACTTTAGGTAGCAAGCGCTCTCTACATATTGGTCTAAACTTCACTATCCTCCCAATAGATAAAAACTAATAGCCCTCTTGATACATTTTTCAGAAGGGGGAAAAGAAAACGAAACCTAGAAAAGTAGAGAAAACCAAATGCAATGCTTAAAAAAATTTCTGCAGAGCTAAGTACTAAAAAAAAAAAAATTATTTAACAATGAATCACCTTATCTAAAGTGTTATATGACAATCGTGAAGCTTTGAGAGGGGGAGGACAGAGGAGAGAACATAAAAAAATTGCAAGTTAGGAAATTGAGAGTCAATCACCATGTATTTCCCATGAAGGCATCCTATACTGGGTGTGCCACCCAATATAGAGATCTTAGAGTCACATTTGCCTTTTTATAAACTTCTCTTATGTCTACACTTTTATCTTAGGTAGATAGGCATTCTAGTCATCTTTTAAATCAACATGAAGCATCAGGATAAATCATTAATCAAACATCATAAGGAAAAAAAGGATATCCTCCAAACACTATAAAAGAAGAACCCAAACAGCTAAGGGCAATGAGGGAATACAAAGCTCCAGGCAGTAAGAACAGGGCCCTACCATAGGGCAGAATGAGTAAACAGCCCAAGACTGTACTCTGACAAAGAGAAAGTGCTGACGATGTCTGAAAAACATGGTGATCGTACTTAGCCTCTAGATCACTCCTGGCTCACATCAGAACTGGAGTAAGTTCAGATGCAGTGATAATTTTATGCTGGCCTATAACTTCAGCCAAAGAGTCAAACAAAACAACACAACCTTCTGTAAATGGTCTCCTTCATTACTAATATCCAACACAAACAAATGAGCAAGATCAAAACTCATGTGGGGAGAGTCCCTTACAGTGAAAGATAAAATTGTAACACAATCACTGACGTGAATTAGATATATAAGGTTATTAATTTTTTCTTTCATTTGATTAACACTTAGTAAGTGCCTACTCTATGGCAGGTAAAGATCATAAACATTAGACAAAGATAGGAAAAGCAAGTAAGTAGCCAATTAAAATCATAAACTGTACTCCTCTGATCTCCTCCGGTAGACACAAGCTCCTTGAAGGCAGGGATCTATCTCTTTTATCAGCCCTTGTAGCCTCAGTTCCTACTTACTGACATACTGACTCTAGAAGCATAAAGAGAAAGTATCTACAGATTCATTCATTCCATTCGACAAATACTTGCTGCGCTCCTAATATAGGCATCCGGCCACTGCACCAAGCACTTGGGATAAATCAGTGAATCAAAAAAAAAAACGTCCTTGCCCTCTAAGCTTCCACAGCAGACCAAAGTCAGAGCTTTTGCAGTTAAATTATAGCTATAGCTTTTTCTTTTAAAGGTACATAAGTTCAAACATAAAATTTTAAGGGGCTCTCAGGTCCATCCATTGGCCTGATACATGTACTCCAAGTTTTTTGCTACAGATCCCGGAAAAGAATGGTGAGTAACTATTGCTTAATTTACACAAATGATTCCTGAGATAATTTATCAATGACGACCTCTTACCTCTAAATTTAGACAACCTAAATTGAATCTACTTCTGAAAAATAAAACTACAAATAATGTAACACAATTTAAAATCTTTAAGTTGCCTAGACTTGCCTCCACAGCTACCACTGAGTGAAGATGCAATTACTAACATAAAGACACAGTTTTGAGAGACACAGATCAAAGATTTATGCCATGGGATTATTGAATTAATAAAGAAAAGTACAATATGTCAGAATACAGAAGAGCCTAAAGCCATGGGCAGATTTAGGGCTGCATGGCTGTTATCAAAAATGTAGTCGTTTGGCAAGTTTATACTGTATAGCACAGAGAACTACATTCAGTATCTTGTAGTAATCTATAATGAAAAAGAATATGGAAACAAATGTATGTATATGTATGACTGAAACATTATGCTGTATACCAGAAATTGACACAACACTGTAAACTGATTGTATCTCAATTTTTAAAAATATGAAATGCACTGAAGTTGTCAACTATATTATTCATGCACACTTTAACTCTTAAGAAATATGCACTAAAATGTTTAGGGGTAAAGAGCCTTGGTCAGTGCAACTTA